CGGTGTCGGGTGTGACTGTAACGGTGTCGGGTGTAATAGTAACGGTGCGGTGTGTGGACAGGTGTAACAGAAGGGGTGTAGGATATAGTGTGGCTGTGGCGGTATGGAGTGAGTGAGTGCATGAGTTTGGTTTTACGCCGCTTTTAGCAATATTCCAGCAATATCACGGTGGGGGACACCAGAAATTAGCTTCACATATTGTACCCATGTGTGAAATTGAACCCTGGTCTTCGGCGTGTCGTGTCGTGTCGTGTCGTGTCGTCGTGTCGTGGCGTGGCGTGGCGTGGCGTGCGAATACAAAACAATAATATAAAGGGGGTGACGGGTGGTGATATTGCATAGAGCCTGCCAGGTCGCCAAATCAGTTGACAACGCTAGCGCGGAGAGTCCTTGGATGGCGACCGTGTTTGGTGTAGCTTCCGACCCTGAGGGTTTCAGGACTTCAGTAATACATGTGGTCTCATTAGGTAAAGTCTGTTCACCCAGCAGAAAATGGGTACCCTGGTGGGTACCCTGACTATAACCTTCTAGCTAACCTCACAGCTTGGGTTATCCGGGTTGATAATTCAACCGTCTGTGCTATGAGCATGCTGTCGGTGTGGATTTTCCGCAATGGACTAAAATTATTATCATTATGTTTTACAGATAAAAAATTGCAGCAGAGGAGGGTTCAGGTGATACTGGCACAGTCAGGCTGGTAAGACTCATTATCAGCTTAGACCCTTGCCCCTCTACACGCAGTCCAGACAGCGAATGGGACTTCTCCCAGAAAACGCCAGCTGCCCTCGTCCAACCCACCAAGAACTTTCCGAAAATATGCAAACTCCCCAATACTGCAGCCTTCTGCATTACCCAGAGTGTCAGAAGGGCAGCTCCCCGGTGTGGGAACCTGCAACTCTCTGATCTGCGCCAAAGAGATCAGGAGGTACTCAAACCAAGGGGACCGAGAACAATGGGGAGCTTTTGGATGCAAGCTGACGAGATTTCAAAGGCGAGGGTCCGTATATTTAGCATATTTAGTCATGTGCATATCTTTTCTTGACCCTAACTACTGATGATAAGCAGTCCGCTCCTGAATCTTGCCAATCACGTTGCTGTCAAAAGGAACAGAACATTCAGTGACATAAATAAACTCATTAGCTTTATCAGAAGGACAAGATCAGGTTTGTTGGCTGTAATTCTTCTGAGGCTGTATATGGGCCTATTCCAAAGAAGTTTAATAGCACCATTTTCCATGACGCCCTGGACATGTTTAGGGTCGTACCATGGATGGACCTCCGAGTCAAAGCCACAGGCATGCTAGTGAAGAGAGTGGTAAAAGCAACGAGCCACGCCATCATGTCTTTTAAGATATGCTGTTATTGCTTTAAAGGAATGGCATCCACTGACAAGGTGTTGGACAGTCTCTGTAAATTCATTACACAGGCGACATTTCATATTGATATTTTCTTTAAGAATCACATTTTGGCGATTAGGAATAAGGTTATTATTATTACTATTTTAAAGGGGAATAAGAGACGCACGCTCAGGATAAGGTTATAGCTGTTAACTCTCGTAGTATCTCGTAATTTAGGAAATACATAATATTAAAGATCCTTTTTAAAATGTCAACAACTATAGTGTATGTCGTCTTTACTATTCTGACGACAAAGATAGTTACATCAACAATTATATCCCTGAATTACGAAAACACCCCATGCATGTGTAATTTAATACAATCATTATTACCGGTAGTAACAAGTGCTACCCATTACGTCTTGTTCAACCACAGATATAATAAAGTATATTTCAAAGGCAGTGTATTTTCTCCATAGACTCGATCAAGTCAACACCAGTTATATATGTTTTGGATTGAAACAAATATAATCAAAAAAAGTGTCCTTAATATGAGAAAGTCAAACACGACAGTACGGTAGAACGAGGTTTAGTTTATATATTCCCATTTCAGTTCGGACTGTGCAAAATTCGCTGAGGAAAAGGGAATTTATCATTAAATTTATCATAATTGCAGTTTGAATATGAAACGTCGGACGACCACACCCCATTAACAGAATACATAGTTGTCAGTAACCGTTTGTAAAATACGACTGGATATTAAACTTTGAGAAAGCAATTGCTTTTCATTGTATGGAGCAAATTGAAGATATTATGTTTTAATAACCTGAAAAACCTCGATACAGTTTTACACAAATGTTTTATTTGCTTTAAACTGAGGTCTTTAGATGTTTGTTTTGAAGTTAGGCTCGTGGTTTTATTGCCAAGCCTCGTGATTACTGGAGTAATTAGCCTGCATTATTCATATTGTGTCTCTTCATCATAAAATGTTTCAGGTCGTCCATTAATAAATAATGACGTGGGATAACAATTCATTAAGCCAATATTATTAAGTCCATAAATGGTGACATATTTTATTTATAACCCAATGAGATCCTATTTTCTATAAATGAAATATTGAGTATCTGTAATGATTTTTATGTGTTTGTTGGGAAATGTACTGCCTCGCGGGAAGCTACGTGGTGCAATTTAAACTGAAACGTATGTGAAACTTAAATATTAAAACAATATATATGTATATATGAATCGATTGTTTCCGCCATTGTTTTGTTGGCCTCATTGTCAACTCATGTCGCCTCGGGTATTATGTAGACCTGGCAGAGAATCTGGCTTATAATATCTTTTTGTTGTTGAAAAAGCCTCATCGGAAAAGGGAACCTTACTCGGGTCTTCGGTTGATCACTTGTTCTCGTACCCCGACTGAGATCGTTGTCCGTAATATCAATCACTGGATTGTCTGGGCTTACATTCGTTTATTTGCCGGCCGCCGTTGTATAGGTGGAATAATGAAATGCGTGGCGTTCAACAACTAAAAACATTGGGTAAGGGGGCATTTCTCAGATCCATGTTGATCGAAACAAACAAAACAAATCTATGATCCCAACTTTTTTCGTTTTAACTCCCACCATCAGTATTCATATATATGACCGCTGTATATATGACCGCTGTATAATCTATTCTGACGTGATAATCTCAATGATCGACATCATGAAACATCGATTTAGGCTATTTGGATGTGATGACATGTGTAAACCGAGGCAGCTTTACCTCTTTACGAGAAATATACGATACTGAACACCAATTCTAACCCATATCTTGCAATCTCCCTAATTATTGATGGTATGCAGTCCTGCTCCTGTGAAAAGCTTTTGGACACTGGAATCATCTCCATCCTAAACACACCGCGGATATGATCATGTCTTTGGTTCTCAGGAGACTATGGAATCGGTAACGAGGGAAAGAATACATTCCAGGTTGATTGCTTCCATGCTTCCAAACAAAAGAACAGAATGCAAGACTTGTGTGTGCTGTGTACGTATACACGATCCTGTATCGATCTGTTGCCCTGTTTAGCTCTCTTTAGCGCATATCAACAGCATTCACTCGCAAGTTTAATGAACTTGTATAATAGTCGATGCAACGAGAATGACCAAGGCAATATCGTGTACACAAATGTTGAATATTTCAACAGCTTTTTTAAACCACATGAAGGTACAGACATTGTTTGAGACAACCAACTAAAACATGCTTTGTCTCATACTAACAGGGCAGAGCAGGGTTGAATTCTAGACTAAGGCTTAGTCTCTGAATATATATAATTTTAATAGTAACAAACAAGCCCATTTATATTGTAAAGGAGCCCTAGGGAGACCAGAGATTCAGAACCTGAACCTGGGGAAATCTAGACTTGCTTTATTTAGGGCTTTAGCACTGCAGAGAGGGCTTGGCAGTAGGGAAATTAATGTGGTTCAGGGACTGTGAGACAGACTAGGTTGAATTCATATTAAGGGAGCTAAGCCCTATAATCATCCTTACGTTGACCGTGCTGCGGGCGAACTCAAGCGGCATACTGTAGTCGGTATATAACTATCAGATGGCAATGTTTGAGATTTGTTGGTGGGGTAGGGGCGAGATTAAAGCGTTCGCTCGTCACGGGTTCGATTCCCCACTTGAGTGCAATGTGAGAAGTCCATTTCTGGTGTGTCTTCCACTGTGTAAAACCGTGCACATTCACTCATTCGTTGTTTAGCGCCGGACCTTGGATGATGTTATTATGTATTATGTTCGAACTCACTCACTCACTCGTCTCATGGTCGCTTGACTCACTCACTCACTCATGATCGTAGGACTCACTCACTCACTCACTCAACTAGCTAGCCAACCAACTATTCATCCATCTACTCACTCACTCATTCCCTGCAACACGTTGTTTAACGCCGGACCTTGGATTGTGTTATATATATTATGTTCGAACTCACTCACTCACTCATGATCGTAGGACTCACTCACTCACTCATGATCGTAGGACTCACTCACTCACTCACTCAACTAGCCAGCCAACCAACTATTCATCCATCTACTCACTCTCATTCCGTGCAACACGTTGTTAAACGCCGGACCTTAGATTGTGTTATTATGTATTATGTTCGAACTCACTCACTCACTCATGATCGCTTGACTCACTCACTCACGATCGTAGGACTCACTCATTCATGATGGTAGGACTCACTCACTCACTCAAGCACTCAACTAGCCAGCCAACCAACTATTCATCCATCCACTCACTCACTCGTTCCGTGCAACACGTTGTTGAACGCCGGACCTTGGATTGTGTTATTATGTATTATGTTCGAACTCACTCACTCATGTTCGCTTGACTCACTCACTCACTCATGATCGTATTACTCACTCACTCATGATCGTAGGACTCACTCACTCACTCAAGCACTCAACTAGCCAGCCAACCAACTATTCATCCATTCACTCACTCACGCCGTGACTCCGTGCAACACGCTGTTGGCAGCCTGTATTGAGGTATGTACGGTAAATTTCCGTTATTATCAGATTACAAGGCTTTGGTCTCAATCAGTGCATCTGTGAAACTAAATACCGCACGACAATAACCATACCCTAAAACAAGCATGTATCGATATACACAGTGCGGACGGTGCTGGGCATACGTGACAGCAGTCGTTAAACTGGGACTTGTTTGTAACTCAATAACCCTTATCGATATCTTTCATATGTATAAAGCAGGTAGACTGTATGGCCAACAAACTGGTAAGGACAGTCTTACAAGGAATACCTGTATCCTTAAGGTCATTGTTTGGAGCCTTGGTACAGGTAAGTGTATAGTTTAATTATATGAGGGTCGTAAATTTTAGTGAGGGTTTAATAAGAAATCTGTACTCGTTTTTTGCATTTTCATCAAATTGAAAAGAGAGAGAGAGGGAGAGAGAGAGAGAGAGAGAGAGAGAGAGAGAGAGAGAGAGAGAGAGAGAGAGAGAGAGAGAGAATAATATAATATAATATAATATAATATAATATAATATAATATAATATAATATAATATAATATAATATAATATAATATAATATAATATAATATAATATAATATAATATAATATAATATAATATAAATGATATTAGAAATTAGGATAATAATTCATCCCCAGGTATTAAAACGCCTGCATCCTAATTATTACTTAGTTGTCCTCCCGATATTTAGAACAGCAATAATAATAATTCATCTACAGGTATTAAAACGCTTGCATCCTAAATACTAAGTTGTCCCCCTGATATAAGAACAACAATAATAATTCGTCTCCAGGTATTTAATCATAGAAATGTTAATACCAGTCATGAAAAGATGGTACATCTACATAAAATAAATAATTGGCGCCCCTGTCCTTTAATAGAGCGTATGCCTTGCAGCACTGGTTGATCAAAAGACCCAAATGGCAGCCGTGTAAATGTAAACCGCCTCTCAGTGTGTAGGCCGAGACTGCAAACACTTAACAGGAAACTGTACATACGTCTGCGTGTTAAACATACATGTGTCCCTCTACCCGGGAGGTATGGGTTATTAATAGAGAATATAAATAATGACAGGGAGATTCGACTCGAGACCAACTTAGGCATCTGGCATTGAACCGAATCGTCCTTGGTGGACCCGTCGTCATATAAACCCCTGTGACATACCGTACCTATCTTATTAAACATGCTTAGATTCTTATCATGCCCAGATGTGTAAATTGTGTGATTTATGTGATATTTTGTTCCCGTTTGGTTTTTTAACTGGACTCAGCCAAAGCATGTTGGTCATGGACTTGGTTCGTTTGTGTTTAATACTTGAATTGTACAATACTAGTAACGCTGCTTGTAGATAACACACTGTAATCTCTTAGTGAGGATGGGTGTGTGGGTGTGTGGGTCGGTGAGTGAGTGTGTGGGTGTGTGGGTGGGTGAGTGGGTGAGTGAGTGAGTGAATGGGTGGGTAGGTGTGTGTGTGGGTGGATGAGTGAGTGGAGTGAATGGGTGGGTGGGTGGGTGAGTGGAGTGGGTGAGTGAGTGAGTAGATGATAAATATTTTGGACATTTACATTTAAGCTATACATACACAGGAGAGGGGTAATGGGGGTGGGTGGGGAGGCGGTGGTTTTTAAAGCCCGTCACGCCGAAGACCCGGATTTGCTTCCTCGCATAGGTACAACGAATAAAGCTAATTTCTGGTGTACCCCACCATGATTTTACTGAAATATTGCTAAAAGCGGCGTAAAAATAAACTCACACCCTACACCACAGGAGAGCAGACCCTTAGCGCCGAAGAGAGTACCGTAGTCGAATTTAGGAAGCCTGTGTGAGCTCCACGGTTCGTACCGTGTCAGGTGTCTGTCTCCCTTCGGATGCTCTCCATGTAATTATGGGGATGGGTTCATCTGTTGCGGGTGATGTGTTTAATCGCTAGGTTTTCTTGCTGCTGCTTTGATCTCCGCCCACCCTCTACAAACACCCACGCCCTGATATACCCAGGGGTATATTTCACGTTATGTATGGAAGCAGACAGCATCCCAGGTCGCGATCAAACAACGGCTAAAGCAGCTTTTGTTTATCCCTTCACCGTAAAGTTAATTGTGTTTGTTCATCAAAATGTTAGTGCCGTGTACAGTTTTAGATTCACATTTTGTAAAGAAAGAATAACGATCACTGGGCCAAATATCCTACTTTGTTAATATTTACTGACTACACAATTAATATGACATGATTCGTTATTGAACCGAAGTACTGTCATTCAGATACACATTAGGTGGTGAAGAAGCAACAACAGAGAAAATAATCGTTTTTGTTTATAATCCTGTATATGTGTCACGTGAAGTAGATTTTTAACGAAATGTGTTTTTATGTAATATATGTTATATTTGGATTTACACTTTCTCAGTAAAGTACATATTCTAGTAATTTTGTTGGGTTGAGTCTCATCCGCGATTCGAACCCACACCCTCGGAGTCAGGCACTTAATCGCCAGCACTCAAAGTCAGCAATCTAACCAACTCATCCATCGCTGCTTCCACACAAATGTGTCTTTATTTGACAGGCACATAACGCAAATAAGAAACTGGAGACAATGTTGCCAAACTTGCCATTTTACACAGTGTGAGCATTTGAACTTGAAAAGCTTACGCCTCAGAATAGCACCTTGCCTCTCCCCACCCCACAGATCCAATTGCTTCCAACAACCCTCCACCCTCCGAAGCATTCACACCCATTGCTCAATACACCCACCACCCGTCACCCTGGTAACCTATTACGCTACCTTTGGTGAGGTAGTGTTGAGAAATATACTCATTTTTGTATTGGTGGGTGCTTGCAAGGATTTGTGCCCTAATCTCAATTATTGACTGTTAATTCACTCGCTCTCTGCGTGGATATATAATACTGTTCCTGTCTACGTTAGCCGCCGCTTTTGACAACACCCACCTGTGACCACGGGTGTAAAACTTTGTAGTCAACTTTGTGTGCAGACTATATCAGTGTTGTCACAACCCCTAGTGTACAGTACACAACCCTTGGCCCCTGAAAGAACCCTCGAATCCGTTGGTATATGACCAGATGGTGGCCACATGAATATGTGCAAACACCTAGTTGCGGGTACAGGAACGTGCAGTAAACTTGGACAAAATACTGTGACTAAATGTGTCCCAGTCCACTCAGCTGTGAATGGAGTTGAATGTGATAATAAGATGTGCCGTTGAGATTGACATCCAATGATTGTGGGAAAAATACCAGCGCTTTGAGCATGCACTAGTACGTGGATATGTGCGCTATATAAATATCAATAATAATAATAATAATAATAATAATATGCTGCATATACTATTTTTCAAATGCATATCTTTATTTTTGTTGTTGCTTGTTGAAGTTTTAGACCTTATTCATATTTCATTTCGATGCAACAGAGACTGATCCAGTATAAAGGATAAACCATCGAAGTTAAAACATTCTATTCTCTAATGTTTGAATCTTTTTGTTAAGATGTGTCATATGATTATGTTTCCGTTAATGGGCGTGACAACCGAGCACCACAAACCAATCAATACCTTTATAAATCCAATACTTATATCCTATCCCATTTTCCAACTTAAAAACCAAATGTCAGTATAAATGTTGCATGTAGATGTAATCATATCGTGTCTTTCTGTAACATCTGAATAATAGCATTAATACGGTACTAGCCACCCTGAATCGGAAATGAAATACATAAACTTGGGTTCCTTGGAAATTGTACAATCTGGTATGCTTTATATACAAAACGACATCATTTATTCCATTGCTGCAAACCTTTAATGGAACATAATAGCTTTGTATATTATCATACGCCGTGGAATGTCATACATATATCTTACGTGATCGTATGTATTATTCTGCATTAGTCATTTATCTCCAGCAGAAGCTAAGATGGAAACTAATGGGTATCAAATATTCAGGGATATATCTCGGGAGTACTACGACTGAAGCTGCCTGTGTTCACAGAATATACAATTACTTGTGGAGTGTGAAATCGGTTTTACCGTAAGCGCTCATAAAAGTTTGGTAGTGAGTGAGTATGGTTTTACGCCGTTTTTAGCAATATTCCAGCAATATCACGGCGGGGGACACCAGAAAAGGGCTCCACACATTTTACACATGTGGGGAATCGAAACTGGGTCTTCGGCGTGACGAGCGAACGCTTTAACCACTAGGCTACCCTACCGACCCAAAGGTTTGGTAACCTGTGTTGGTCCTGTGTATAGAACCCAACCCATACATCAGTTGATGTTACGCAATGTTGGTCACGGAGAGTCATTGGATGGGTGACCGTGTTTGGCAGCTTGACTCCTGGGTTTCTAGGAGTTCTCTCCAGCCCCACAACTAAGCACATATAGCACATGTGATCTCACCCTAGCCACGTGAGATTGTTAAAACATTGCCTCTGTTCACCCAGTAGTGAATGGGTACCCGGTGGGATAAATCATCCACTGTCACACCTGCTAGTTCAGGCAACATGGGTTATCCGGGGTAATAATGTGTTAGCGCCTTGAGCATGCACAAGTGCGTGGATAAAGGCGCTTTGTAAATGGCTATTTTAAATGGTCTACCTTAGCATGTTATCAAAGTGATTGAGTTCGTGCAGTATGCTACTTGCATCACATCGTGTAAGGTCATGTGGGATGAAAGCGCTCACGCCATCGCACACGCACGCGCATGCGCACACGCACACGCTCTTGGACAATTTATAGAGTTAAGTGATTCAGTTGTCAAACAATGGACATGATAATTATTAGTCTTGTCTTTAAAATATTAAGTGGATGAGGAAAGATGGTATTCCATTTCGGAGCAGCAGTTACTGTTCGGAAACGAAAGAATTTAATTTTCCATGTGTAGCGACAAGTCGAAGTTTGTTACTAGACCGCGAGATCTATATACCTGGAGTGTGACAGAGTTGGCTTTTAGCAATATCTCATCAATATCACATATTGTACCCTTGTGGAGAATCGAACCTGGGTCTTCGGTGTGACGAGCCTAACGCTTTAACCACTACACTACCCCACCGCCCCCTAGATTGCTGGAACACACCGACAAGAACGACACACTTGTACACAACTTGGAAGTCAATTCTATAGGGGAACCCGTGAAGAGTCGGCTTAGAATTGATCTCCAGTAACTCATGCTTGTCGTAAGAGGCGACTAACGGAATCGGGTGGTCAGGCTCGCTGACTTGGTTGACATATGTTATCGCATCCTAATTGCGTAGATCGATGCTAATGCTGTTGATCACTGGATTTTCTGGTCCAGACTCGATTCTTTACAGACCACCGCCATATAGCTGTAATACAGCGGTGTTAAAAACCCACCAACCATCCAACCAACCATCCAACCAATCAACCAACCAATTCTCCCTGCAGCCAGTGCGATGTTAAAATGTGTGTATGTGTGCGTTTCTTTCGATACCAAATGCCATTAAATGTCAGCAGGGGTTAGACGTGACCAATCTCATTTAGTGGATCAAGCAGCAGTAATTGGATACTGGGGACGAGAAATTACAGGGAACAGATAATCAGTTTGATACGGCCTGACTGTTATTTTTGCTCTGCAGAAAAAACTTTGTGAGAATGTCCAGGCGACCTCAGTCTAGCGTCAGCACACAGAGCACGGCAAGCGACTCCACAGCTCCGCTCCCTGCTCATCAGTCGTGGGCCCCATTCAGCGGGCCTGTCATGTTTACAGGTACGTCTGTCAGCGGTACAACGAACAGTTTACAAACATGGCGTGGGGCGTGGGGCGTGGGTGGACTTGGGGCGCTGGGTGTTGGGTGTTGGGTGTTGGGTGTTGGGTGTTGTTCTCCGGTGTGGGTTGTTGCTTTCTGGGTGTGGGTGTGGGGTGTGGTTTGTGGGGTGTGGAGGGTAGGGTGCGGGGTAGGGGTGCGAGGTGAGGGCCTGTGGATTGTGTAGAGCGGGATGTGGGCGTGGGGAGCGGAGAGCGGAGCGTTAGAGAGGAGCGTGGAGTGTGGAGCGTAGGGGCGTAGAGAGCGTGGCGTGGGGTGTGGCGCATGTAGTGTGGGATGTGAGGGTGCAGGGAAGAGAGAATGGAAGATTAGGATGCGATCCACAGAACGTAGGATGTCAAGACTAGAAACAAGCCATCTAACTGAAACACCCAGACATTCATGTTCACCTGTCACCTGTTAATTTTCACTACGTTTATTCAAATTCTCGTTTTTTTTGTACCATGTGCCTCGTTTCTCTATCAAACAAACATAGTCAAATATGTGTACCTTTCTTCCAAGGACGAGTTTAGTCTCCCGTGTACTTTTTTCAAATGTAATACCTGAAGGAATTACAAGCGACAAGCCCATATCAATAGAGACGATTTGCGGCAAGTAATACTATTTAGATCTCATTGACGGTAGGGAATTTAATAATTAACAATAACAGGATTCACGCTTTCTGACAAGTTGAATGGGTGATTAGTGTAAGCATACTGCAGTAAATATTGAGCGGCAATCATCCAAGAACCCTTTGTTCAACATTTCAGTGCTTATTGCTGATGTAGATTAAATAGTTAATACACATCGGTCGATACTTTCACTCAGTGAACTGTTGTGTGTTATGTCGTGTGTCTAGCCTTTGATCCGTTTTCTGCAAGATTCCACAACAAGTGTAAATGGTGGAATAAAAAAAGTAGCTTGTTACTTGACCTTGGAGAGAGTTTTTAAGTGTTTAGATCGTAAACGTCAGTAAGTGTAGATCTTTTATGTGAAATAAGCCGAAGGAAGGATAACAATTACCTTGTTGATTGATCTACTTCAATCGGTAGAGTTGTTAGTTCTGAAAAGTTAACGGTTATGATGGTGTGGTTCAAGATACACAGGTGGAGTGAATGAGTTAGGGGTGATGGGGGTGGGAGTGGGGGAGGTGGAGTGCATGAGTTAGGGGTGATGGGGGTGGGGGTGGGGAGGTGGAGTGAATGAGTTAGGGGTGATGGGGTGGGGAGGTGGAGTGAATGAGTTAGGAGTGATGGGGGTGGGGAGGTGGAATGAATGAGTTAGGGTGATGGGGATGGGGTGGGGGAGGTGGAGTGAATGAGTTAGGGGTGATGGGGATGGGGTGGGGTGGGTGGAGTGGAATGACTTAGGGTGATGGGGATGGGGGTGGGGAGGTGGACTGAATGAGTTAGGGGTGATGGGGATGAGGTGGGGGAGGTGGAGTGAATGAGTTAGTGGTGATGGTGATGGTGATAGGGGAGGTGGAGTGCATGAGTTAGGGGTGATGGGGATGGGATGGGGGAGGTGGAGTGCATGAGTTAGGGGTGATGGGGATGGGAATGGGAATGGGGAGGTGGAGTGCTAGACTAACTCCTAGTCTCTGAAATGAACATATTTTACAGAAAAACGGCTCATAGTGAAAAACTAAAAAATATAATAAAAAGGAACCCTGAGACTCTCTTCATTTTCAGTAGCTGTGGAAATCTAGACTTGCCACATTTTGTAGACTTGCTAGGGATTTCTTGGATATATTTGCTTCAGGGTATGTATGACAGACTAGTGAAGTTAGTGAGTAAGTGTTTGAGTAAGTGAGTGAGTGGGTATGTGGGTGGGTGGGTTAGACGGGTGAGTGAGACGCTACACAAAAATGACACTATCTATATGACTCTCTATAACTCTGAGTGAGTGAGTGAGTGAGTGAGTGGGAATATCAGGAATATCGACGAGCCGTGTAACCTGTCCTCTCTTCACTTGGATCGCATAAGTATATCTTACATCAATATAGAACAAACTTTATGGATAACAACTTCTTTTTATTCGTGAGTGCGACGTTTCGATACAGATTCTTGTACCGTTGTCAAGCATAATGGGACATGAAGAGGGGGGAAGTGTATATATACTGGATGTGACAATGTGACAAAGAAAACAACATAATTAACATAATTGGCTAGGCAGAAGGCTGATGAAGCCAGAGAGTAGACAAAGGACAGGCGTAGAAGCCAAATAGTCAACAGAACCATCGCTGCCACCCTGTCACCCCCTACCAAAAGACCCAAACAAGATTTAGCCCCCATCAAGATATCCATCCCCTACATTGGCAAACCGTCACATCAAATCAGCCGCCTCCTGAAAGATCAAGCTGGCATAGATACCACCTTCTCCGCGTCCTCCAACCTTAACAACATTCTCCATGCCAATGGAAGAAAACCCGCCACCGTAAAGAACAACAACCCAAAATGTGTCATCTACAAAATAAACTGTGATTGTGGGCAGAGTTACATAGGCGAAACTTCCCGACCCATCAACACCCGAGTGAAAGAACATCAGACCTCTGTTACCAATTCCGACAGCAAATCAGCCATTTCCGACCACATCAAAGCAAGCCCCAATCATCAAATAGAGTGGTCTGACATCACCATTCTCTCTAACAAACAAACAGACTTCACTAAACGCAAGCTCACAGAAGCCATCCACATCAAACGCCAAAAGCCCACCATCAACCGAGACCAAGGATACTTCATTCCATCCGCTTATGATGCACTCATCCACCAAGCCCAATCCACTGTATAAACTCACTGCTGTATAAACATGTCATTATCATTTGTACATCATTGGCTTCTACGCCTGTCCTTTGTCTACTCTCTGGCTTCATCAGCCTTCTGCCTAGCCAATTATGTTAATTATGTTGTTTTCTTTGTCACATTGTCACATCCAGTATATATACACTTCCCCCCTCTTCATGTCCCATTATGCTTGACAACGGTACAAGAATCTGTATCGAAACGTCGCACTCACGAATAAAAAGAAGTTGTTATCCATAAAGTTTGTTCTATATTGTACTTCCCAACTTCTAAAATGCCACTCAAAGAAGTTATATCTTACATCCTTTATACAAGGTAGATGGTTTAGGTATATGGATCACTCACTCACTCACTCACTCACTCACTCACTCACTCACTCACTCACTCACTCACTCACTCACTCACTCACTCACTCACTCACTCACTCACTCACTCACTCACTCACTCACTCACACTCACTCACTCACTCACTCACTCACTCACTCACTCACTCACTCACTCACTCACTCACTCACTCACTCACTCACTCACTCACTCACTCACTCACTCTCTTTTCCAGGACCAAGTGGACTGCGAGATCAGCGGGTCAAAGTTCATAACAACTTCCAGTCTGTCGGCATTGGCGCTCGGTCGATGGAGACGACCAACAATGTGTCGTACCTGAACCGTAGCCCGCCAGGAAGCCAGTTCCCCAGAGCTAAGCATGGACAGATAGGGGAGATCGGCTGGGAATTCGAGACATTTGGTCTGGTGAAGGGTATTTAACAACTGGGAAACACCCACTCATTAAACTCCCCACACCCTTCCAGTGGAGGTCTCAAGGGGTCACTGTTTGTCTTTCTTAGAACAATGCTTTATATAACTCCAATGTGGCCTTACTAAAAGCTCTGTGTCAGATAGATACGTTTCAAGTTATGTACATGGATGTATTTATGACCTTTTGCCTATGTAAGAAAGGTTATATACGTAATAATATGTATACATGAAAATGGCAGTTGTATCGAGTCTTTGAATGTAATACAAGAGAATTGTATGGATGTCAACTTCTATATTTTGAGGAACACGTTTCTGAGTATATATACTCATGCCAATAATGGTTGTCACCCTCTTCAATTTTTTATTGGAGAGGGTGTGTGGGGTGTGTGTGTGGGGTGTGTGTGGGGTTGGGGTGGGGAGGGGGTGACAACCATTATTGGCATGAGTATATTTACTCCTTCATTGGTGTAAAAAGTAGGTATATATTCCGAAACGTTGTGTTCTTCCTAATAAAGAAATTGACTTCCATAAGATTCTCTTTCCCATAGCAATTGTATGCAAAATATGTCAATTTGGGATCAGCTTTAACAGTAGATGTACATTGAATGTCTAAAAATTTTAACAGTAAATGCATATTGAATGTCTAAATCTCATTGTCTATTGATAATAATGTTGCAAAACGAGAGCTCGCAAGTAATTAACCTGGGATTTGTATGCGTAGAAGCACAAAAATGTAACTTTTCTCTATTTTTAAAAATAAGTTTAGAACTAGACGTTAAGTTGCCTGACGATATGGTTTCAACTGGCGTTTTTATGTTGTTGTTATTTTTAACATCTGATACAGACAAATTCCAAAAAATCTAATTCTGATTCTGCCAAGTAAGTGTTACAGGGAAATATCTGGCAATTAACTTTCCGTTAGAGATGTGTAATAGGGGTGAAATCTGAAACATGGTTTTCCATTGAGTGCCAAATATTCATGTGATTTCGGTTTTCGACCTTTCATTTGGGATTCGGAAATGGCTATGGTCATTCATTTAACATGATTTAAAAAAAAAATTTAATATAGAATTTATGAAAGTGGAAACGATGATGAAATTCACATTAAATAAATACAAAGGAGCGCCTTTTAATAAACTCGTGAAGTAAACAAAGAAGTTACAAATCACTGTGTGGAAAGGCTGTAGGCATGTTACGTCGTGGCTCAGACGTGTCTAGTTGCGTCCCTTAGTTGTAACAGGATTTGATGATCATGTGTTCGAAATCTAGATTCTTTTCGACTATTAGTGGGTTACGCAACATTGGTAAAATTCCATGAGTGAGTTTTCGAAATAATCCTTCTGAGAACCAATTGTACTGATGCGCACATGGTCAGACAACTTAGAAACCGTCAACACACACCAGCCAATAAAAATCAGCTGGAGCAATCCTATGACGTCATCAGTACGATGACGTGTATTGGACACACAAGGCCAACGAAAAGATGTTTAGCACCGGAAAAGCTCTAAAAAAGTTATTTTGGGCACTACCGGTTTTCAAACCTTTTTTCTTCGTTGTTCATTGTTTCTTTGGCTTAAGGTTTGAGAACAAAACATTAAATATTCGAAATATTCGAAAACAGTTTTGATAACTTTGTCTGTGACTTCCTTGTACTGGAGTTCAAATGAGTGGGCAGTTTCTTTTGCCCGTCAGTATGTGCATTTGAAAACCGTTTCAGTATTATGTAAATCTCATAGTATTATGATGTATGATTATTGTTTATTTGTGAAAGAACATCGTATTCGTGATATTGAGATATTGTTTATCAGTGACAATACCCAAAATAACGCTTATATGTCATAATAGTCAAGGCAGTTTATTCGTAATTGCAGATCTGTCTAATACCCGAGACTGTAGATCTGTCTAATACCCGAGACTGTAGATCTGTCTAATACCCGAGACTGTAGATCTGTCTAATACCCGAGACTGTAGACCTGTCTAAATACCCACACTGTAGATCTGTCTAATACCCGAGACTGTAGATGTGTCTTACAGTTTTTAGATGTGATTGTAACTCATTGGAATGTGTCGAATGTTGTTTACCAATATAGCTTGTGTGTTTCAATGTGGTGTCATCCAAGCGTATGCTGATAATCTTAACAGCTTTCTTGAAATAAAGATAAATAAAAAACGCACATATTGTTTTCATCGTTGTGAGTGAGTGAGTAAGTTTAGTTTTACGCCGCACTCCTATATGGCAGCGGTCTGTAAAATCCAGTGATCAACATCATCGACCTGCGCAATTGGGAACCAATTAATGGCATGTGTCAACCAAGCCAGTGAGCCTGACCACCCGATCCCTTTAGTCGCCTCTTACGACAAGCATGGGTGACTGGTCCATTCTAACCCGGACCTTCACGGGTCTTTCATCGTTGTTTATGACAGTAGAGTGACCTGTCAATGACAGTCGGGTGGTTTGTCTATGTTTTGTTTGACAGTGGGAAGGTTTTGTCTATGTTGTGTGTGACAGTGGGAAGGTCTGTCTATGTTGTGTTTGTGATATACAAAATAGTTTAAATTACAAGAATAGAAGCGTACAATATGAGAGAGTATAGCAGTAGATTAAACAAACAGCATGTAGATTATTGGTGAAGATAAGGATATAATTTAAAGGCAATGAATACATATTTACTTAAATTTAACAGTGTTTTAGGACATTTGGTGTTCATTAGATTAGCAAATGTTGTAACTGAGGGATGGTTGTGATACATCGAGTGAATAAAGGAGTTTCGGAGTTGGGTGAAGGCTTTGCAGATTAATAAAAAATGATACTCGTTTTTCAATTTGATGGATTCCATATCGGCTGCAGTGAGAGCATATTCTTAATTCTTCATCCATTCCGATTCTTCGGCCTAATTCAATCATTAGGTTGTGACATCCGCATCTAAATCTTGATAAAGCTTGTCTGTATATCCGTACATTTATGTGTGTTAAATATATTTCGACATTTAAGACAGATTTATAAGTTGAATAAAAAGACAATTTAGAGTTGTTACTGATATCGCTTTGCCATTCTTGAATGTCTACATCACTGATCTGTTGTTTTATTTCTGATAAGAAGCTTAATTTATCTCCAAAGTCCTGCATTATCCATGTGTAACCGAATCCATATTTGAATAAGATTTCTCTGACATATGTCACCCATGATGAACGATGCACCTTGTCTAGTCCATATAGCATGATATAAGTCTGCTTTGGAAGTCGGCTATTGTCCATTATAATTAGCTTAGTCCAAAATGTTAGTACCTTGATAACTTGTGTGACAAAGACTGTCTTTCTTCCACAATCACCGAGAACAGCGACATTGCATGCATTTTGGGGGACATAGATCATTTTCTTGAAGTATTTAAGTTGAACTCTCTCAATATGTTTCACTCGTTGAAGTCCCAAGATTTCAGCACCATAGGTGAGGATAGGAAGTATCATCCTTTCAAAAAGAGTTACAGCAACACCTAAAGGCTATGTTGTGTGTGACAGTGGGAAGGTTTGTCTATGTTGTGTGTGACAGTGGGAAGGTCTGTCTATGTTGTGTGTGACAGTGGGAAGGTCTGTCTATGTTGTGTGTGACAGTGGAATGGTTTTGCCTATGTTGTGTGTGACAGTAAGAAGGTTTTGTCTATGTTGTGTGTGACAGTGGTGAGGTCTGTCTATGTTGTGTGTGACAGTGGGAAGGTCTGTCTATGTTGTGTGTGACAATTGGAAGGTTTTGTCTATGTTGTGTTTGACAGTGGGAAGGTTTTGTCTATGTTGTGTGTGACAGTGGGAAGGTCTGTGTATGTTGTGTTTGACAGTGGGGTGGTTTGTCTATGTTGATACAGTGGGAAGGTCTGCCTGTGTTGTGTGTGACAGTGAGAAGGTCTGTCCATGTTCTGACAGTGGGATGTCTCTGTTGTGTGTGACTGTTGTATGGCCCAGATTCTCGGTGTTGTTTATGATTGTGTGGGAGTCCGCTTTCTTGTTTGTTAGAGTGCGGTCTGTCGATAAATGTTCTAATGATGTAGAGATATATATCTTGTTGCTTGCATTAGTTTGGGGACTCTCTGCGCTGCGTGTGACTGTGTTTCAAGTTGAATAATACTACTAAATGAAATTGGATGGTCGGACAAGGTGACGTGGTTGATGGTGTGTGACGTTGTTCGTAAATGTGAGACATTACTTTCTTTCATCCAAACACATTTGTTTATTTCCCGCTGTGATAAAACTGGAAATTCTAATAATGTTGACAGCGGCTTATAAACGGAAAATAACCCTCAAAGACTTTTGCTATCATGACAATACCCCACACCCTTTGATACTCATACAACCGTCATCTGTTTGTTTTTGTCTTGTGATTTATTCGTCCACCTGTAGTGTCGAACTTATTCAACGATAGGCCCCCAAGATGGTGGGGATTTTAACTTAATCATAGGCCGGGCTGCACTTCACCCCAGTTGAAACATGCACTTGAAATGATTGTGTACATGCTATTTGTATCGGCCATTATGATGAATAGTTTATATCATATATTAATATCCCATGTTTAACGACTGCGTGGTACATTATTAAAAAGTATTTTCAAAGGCATGATAGATACCAATCTTTGATAGCTTTTGACTAATGGCTACAAACGTACGATTGGGACCATAGCAATTAGGCCTAACATTAAAACTCGTGACATTTATCGATTATGAGTGTCTGGCTTGTCGACGGTAATACCATGAGTTGAGAGATCGAGTTGAACCATGGTAAACTTGTCACATAACGGAAATTGATCGCATTGACGGAAACCAACAACGCACAAACAACATGAATGTGTTTACTTATGAACAGCATACCAACAGTGAATCGTTCGAAGCTTCGACAGATAAACTTAGTCTATATTTCGTCTGTTTTCCATTGACGCCCGAATGCTATATCAAATATTAATAACTGAATAAATAATATATCAGTTGTAATTAAAGAAAACATTTCCTTCCACTGAACGTATTAATAATTTACGTGTGCTATGAATAATTTACGTAGTACTCCAATTATCCGTCGAGTTCGTTTTGAATAATTTACATTGGGAGGAAATTGAATAAATAACGAATTTACGGCGGGAGTCTGCGTCAGCCGAAGTGTGGAAACCGATCAAAGTTTAACATATCCCAAGTACGACTATTTCAAAACACACACAATCTCTCTGTCTCACAACACACACACACACACACACACACACACACACACACACACACACACACACACACACACACACACACACACACACGCACGCACGCACGCACGCACACACGCACACGCACGCACACGCGCACACACACACACAAAA